GTCATCCCGAGTAGAGACAGTTTCAAGTACCTTGGGTCGGTTATCCAGGGGGGAGGGGAGATCGACGAGGATGTCACACACCGAATTGGGGTAGGATGGATGAAGTGGAGGTTAGCATCTGGAGTATTGTGTGACAAGAGAGTGCCACTGATACTCAAAGGTAAGTTATATAAAGCGGTGGTTAGACCGGCCATGATGTATGGGGCTGAGTGTTGGCCGGTTAAGAACTCACATATCCAGAAGATGAAGGTAGCAGAAATGAGGATGTTGAGGTGGATGTGCGGACATACTAGGATGGATAAGATTAGGAATGATGATATTCGGGAGAAGGAACGTGGCTCCTATTGATGACAAGATGCGGGAAGCGAGGCTCAGATGGTTCGGGCATGTTCAGAGGAGAAGCCCAGATGCTCCGGTAAGGAGGTGCAAACCGCTGGTTGTGGAGGGCACGAAAAGAGGTAGAGGGCGGCCTAAGAAGTATTGGGGGGAGGTGATTTGTAACGACCCGGCCGGTCGTTTTTGGAATTTACGCCCCGATCCCCCATTAACTGCTTCCCCTAAGTTCATTTCTGCTATTTTGGTTTGCCGGGACGTTCGGTGTTGGGATTCGGAGTGTTTTGGGACACTTAGTCCCTAAATGAGAGCTTAAGAGTTGAAAAATGGTCCGTAATCAGAACAGTGTGAAGACGACCTCGGAATGGAAATCCGATGGTTCCGTTAGCTCTGTTAGGTGATTTCGGGGTTGGGAGCGTGTTCGGAATGTATTTTGGAGGCTCGTAGCTCATTTAGGCTTGAAATGCCGAAGTTTGAATTTTTGAAGTTTCCGGTCCGATAGTGAGTTTTTGATCCGAGGGTCGGATTGGAATTCCGGAAGTTGCAGTAGCTCCGTCATGTCATTTGGGATGTGTGTGCAAAATTTCAGGTCATTCGGGCGAGGTTTAGTTAGGTTTTTGATCGAAAGTGTGTTTTGTTGGAATTTGAAGTTCTTAGGCTTGAATCTTTGATTTAATCGGACTTCCGGTGTTGTTTTAGGTGTTTTAAGGATTGGTACAAGTTCGAATAAGGTATTAGGTGGTATTCGTGCTTTTGGTTGAGGCCCCGGGGGGCCTCGGGATGATTTCGGGTGGTTAACGGCAAAATTTGAGACGTGTTGCAGCAGCTGAAGTTTTTCCCTTCTGGTATTTTTGCTTCTGCGGCTTGGGAACCGTAGAAGCGGCCTTAGCATCGCAAGAGCGAATTTGGGCTCCCTCAGCTTTTTTCGCAGGTGCGGAGGATCTACCGCAGATGCGGTTACGCACCTGCGAGGCTTCTATCGCAGATGCGGTCCCGAGTCTTTTGTGAGAAACCGCAGAAGCGGTAAGTATTTCGCAGAAGCGGCAACCGCAGGTGCGGTTTAAGATCGCAGAAGCGGAACCCTGGATTTTTAATGAAAACCGCAGAAGCGGCTCGTGGTCCGCAGAAGCGGGACCGCAGAAGCGGTCCCTTGTCCGCAGAAGCGGAAATGACTGTTCAGAAATATCAATTTCGAGGGTTAAATTTCATAAGTTTGAAAATCGATTGAGAGCTCGGGAGAAGGCGATTTTGAGTGGGTTTTGAAGAGAAAATCATTGGGTAACGTTTCCTTGATCCCTTTTCATTATATTTCATCATTATATAGCTAAATACATCATTGGAATTCGAATTTAGGATCAAAAGTTGGTTAATTTGGGGTAAAACTTCATTACCTAAACTATTGAGTTTTGAGTGGGCATTTGACCTCCGATTTGGGAATTTTTATATGGTTAGACTCGTGGGAGTACGAGAATTCTGAAATTGTGAAAATTATTCGATTCCGAGATGTTGGCTGGAGGGGCGTTTTGGTCATTTTACCTATTTTTGCGCCCTAGCTGTAAATTTATTAGCGGAATCAGTTGTTTGCAATATTATTTACAATGTGTAATTGAATTGAATAGATTTGGGCCATTTGGAGTCGGATACTCGTGGCAAGAGCGTGGTTTCTAGTTGATATTGAGCCGGTTCGAGGTAAGTGGCTTGTCTAACCTTGTGTGGGGGGCCTTTCCCCTTAGGATATTGTTATTTGGTATTTTGAGTGCCTTGCACGCGAGGTGACGAGCGCGTACTTGAGCCAATTGTTGAAAATCCGGTTTTACTTATGATATTGCGATTGAGTTTCTTTCATATTTGCTTTATTCTACTTGCAACTATAATCTGTGCTAGATTAGGAGAGCATGTTTAGTTGTTTTAACTTGCCTACTTGCTTAAGTTGCCTTGACTGTACTACGTGAAGCATGTTAGGCCAGTACTGCCCGTTGCTTGTCTTTGTACTTCATTTTCTGTGTATCTTCTGGTTGTGATGCGCATTTACATTGGGACTACGGATGTGGGATTCCGGTAGCTCCCCCCCCCCCCCCCCTCTTGTTTATTTACTTTGGGACTACGGGTTCGATTCCCGGTAGATCCCCCTGCACTTTTACTTTGGGACTGCGGGTTAGATTCCCGATAGATCCCCCTGCACATTGATAGTTGGACTACGGGACGGTATCCCGGGAGATCCTTCGGATATGCACATTGATATGATGGACTACGGAACGGTATCCCGGGAGATCCACTGGGCAGTTGAGAAAAGGACTGCAGGACGGTATCCTGGGAGATCCTCATTGTTACCATTGGTATTGAGCTGTACTTATTCTGTGGTTGTTCCGTTCTTGTGTATTTGCTATTGCCTTGTTTAACCTGTCTTATTTCACTGCTGTATTTATTATTTCTGTCAGATTATCATACTGTTAATTATTGTTATTACTATATTTTGTCTCAGTATGGCCCTGACCTTCCTCGTCACTACCCAACCGAGGTTAGGCTTGGCACTTACTGAGTACCGTTATGGTGTACTCGTGCCCTTCCTGCGCATGTTTTTCATGTGCAGATCATCCAGGTACCTCTACTCAGGCGCACTATCAGTGAGGCAGGAGGACTACGGAGACTTCGAGGTAGATCTGCTGCGTCCGCAGACCGACGAGTCTCCCTCTTATTATATCTTTAGTACTTAGTTTTCCTTCTTTCGGTTGTTAGAAATTCTGGAGTTTGGAACCTTTACTATACACTTCTGTAGCCTGTGTTGCCCGTGAGTTTCCAGGTTTTGGGAATTGTTTTAGACTTGTGATATTGAGTTGTACTTGCCAAGCGGCATTCAGTACAGTTTCCTTTAGATATTTGATTTGATTTTCTCTATTTTTCCGCAATTACTATATTTCCGCAATGTTAGGCTTACCTGGTCATGGGGACCAGGTGCCGTCATGACATGTTCACGGTTGGTGAACTAGGGTCGTGACATGATTAGGCGGGATATGGCGAGGCTTCAGATTTCCGAGGACATGGCACTTGATAGGAACATGTGGAGGTCGAGTATTAGGGTTGTAGGTTAGGAGGTAGTTGAGTCTTACCTTATGTCATAACTTTGTGAGACTAGTTTGGTAGGGATATTATTTCCCTTTTGCCTTGTATCTTTCTTCTTGATTTCGTGTTGTTCATATTTTTTATATTATTTCTGTGGTGTTACTGATATGGTCTCCTTTTGTCTTTTTGTCTTCTTGAGCCAAGGGTCTTTCGGAAACAGTTTTTCTACTCCTTCGGGGTAGGGGTAAGGTCTGCGTACACACTACCCTCTCCAGACTCCACTAGTGGAATTTCATAGGTAAACAGAAATACATTTGACATCATAATTTAGTTTTCCGAATTTCGTAAGGGGTTGCTAACGTAACATAGAGCGGCGGCGAAGAGTTTAACTCAGCTTGCAGTTTGTAGCTGACTTCCATGTTGCATGGCCGTGGCGTAATATACAAAAGCCACGTCCCCCATCTTCAAATGGTGATATTGAAAAGCCAATACATACTCTCTAGGCTCAGCAAAAACTTAATTACTCGAAATATTAAATTACATAAAATAAATCTAATAATTACGTTGGAGAAGATATCATTACAATTTATATAAAAATTATTATGCTGCAAATAATAATACATGAACTGGATGTGAATATTATTGTTAATATTGTTGTGACATTTTCATCTTTGAATGCCTTTAATTATACGGACTATATACGGTCAAATCTCTTTATAACAGTATTCCTATGAAATATTCATTTACTATAAAGTAAGTTTTTCCAAAAATCGAGTTTTTAAGTTATATAATTATACATCTTTATAACAATCTTTTACCTATAAAAGCAACAGTCATATTTATAAAACGCTCTTTGTAAAATAACTCCTCTATAACAGTCATATAGAATCTCTAAGATTACTAATAATAGTTCTAAAAACCTTAGTACGTTCTTTTCCATTGAACAAAGTTTTCATTTTGCATAATACATCGGATTTGAAGATTTGAACTGATATCTTTTTCATTGGACATATGCTAAAAATATTTAAATAGAAAATTTAACTGTTAAACTCTTAGATTGCCTTCAAGGAAACCTATCTGATACTTTTTTGCTAAAAGTACAAATATTCACCAATTCAAGCGTTATAGCGCTAGTAAAAGAATGAAATCTACGAAACAGACTTCAACCGTAAAGTTCTTCCATCAATCTTGAAAGAATTTATTCTTTTTGTAGCTTTAAAATATTTATCTTAGAGTTTAAAACTTTATACTTATAGTTATCAATCTATTAATAAAGTATTAGCTTTCTTTAATGTTTAATCAGTAAATATGCATATTTAGGGAGATTTTAAATTTGAATAACGTTTTATCTTTTATATATAACATGAAAAGAAAAATTAGCTTTCGGATAATTTTTGTAACAATCAAAAGTATTTGTTAATATCAAATATTATATAAGCATATAACAATTACTCACTATAAAAATTAAAAAAATATCGAAAAAAATAAATATTATAGAGGGGTTTAACTATAGCATTTTATGCTAACAACCAAACATCACATTAGTTTTGCAAATACGACATTTTGAAAATTAAATATCATGTTAGATTATCAAATTTTGAATTTAAATCACTAATCTGCTTCTAAAATGGTGGCGGACTCCTAAATACAAGGACATAGCATTAGGCTCTTAGCTAGCTCTTTGTGCAAAAATGGCAGCTGCTGCTATGTATCAAGTGGAGGAGACAACTAAACCAGTAGTGCCGCCACCGCCAATAACTCAAGAACCACCGCTTGCATCTGTTGCCACGGCTACACCAAACGACGTCGTTAAACCAACACTTCATGATACTACTACTACACCTACAGCTCTCACACCACAAAGTAAATTGTTTAAATCATCCTTAATTCTTCTTAGTCGATCACATCTACATATTTTTTCTTTTTTATAGTGCTAGGTGTTCAGTGCTATTTATCTATTTACAGTTTTGTTAACTTCTATACACTAGTTGAATTTTTTTACAGTACTAACACAGGTTATTTAACACTAATTAAGGTAATTATTGATAGTAATAGTAGCATGATTAGTTGGTAACATTTTCGTGTATATAAGTTAAACACTGATATAGTATAAGGGATTTTTATATTTTTAGAGTTTGACTTCCATAAGTTAATAGTATCAAGAATTTTTAGAACGTCAGGTTACTTGCTGAAATCTAATTAGAGGCAATTTGTGGTAGTAAACATAGTTTAGTTACCTACAAAAGAGGGTAAACGACCTGTTATAGTGGGTAAAAGTGAATTATTTACACTGTCAGTATGTATTAATTAAATTCATATTTTATCAGAAGCCAACATCATACCTTCCCTTGTTATGTTGATATTCTGGGTTTTTATGTCATTGTTTTTAGCTAGTGTGCCATCTTCATATTGACCCTTGTTGATGCTGAGTTTGTTATATCAATTTCAATTCTAGTACTTAATAGTGATTTATACTTGTTTTCAACTTCAATCAACAGCTTAATGTGTGTCAAAATAGTGTGGGCTAGCAATTTTTGGACTGGTAATTGAAAAATAGTCAGTGTTTACAAACTAATTGAAAGATTAAGCATGTGTGGGCCTATTTCGCAGTTACTGTTGGTAGCTTCTCTTCAGTATTAAGATGATAAAGGCTATACAAGTAATGCAAAATGTTAATATATATACATTTCAAACAAATTTAATTTAGCAGTAACAAGTGTTACACTGACTGATAATCAACAAGTATTAATTAGTAATGCAAAATGTAAACATTTCAAACAAATTTAGCAGAAACAAGTGTTACTTTGCCTGATCATAACTAACAAGTGTTTCATTGGCTGATAATCTTTATAATTAATTTTTTTTTTTATCAGAAGTTTCTCTACATGTCCAGCATGGGATAGTTGTCCATTGTGTGAGAAGAAATGAACTGCTTCATTTCTCGACTAGATGCTGACGATGATTTTCTGAGACCATAACGTGTTGTTGTTTCGTGATTTTGGCAGAAACTGATCCTTCATCAAAGATAAGTTCAAAAGGATCCCTTGATAGAGGTATGTATTACATCTGGACGTTAACCAGTTTTTGCAACGCTCATAACATCATATAGGATTCGAGATGTGCCTATACATATGTATATGTATATATGTGTGCGTGTGCGTGTGTGTGTATAGCAATAATTACTTAAGAAAACTTAGAAGTGAAACAATTTTATTAGTTACCTGAAATCTTGAGAGTGGATCACTTCACTGGTAGTAGTGTTGCATAGCAAAATATTCCAACTGAATGAATTAATTAGAGGGAATTACTCATATTTCCGATGTTAACAATAGCGTTGTGCCTTATTTATCTTCAGATGTTGCTCTTGCACAGCTTGAAAATGAGAAAAGGTCTTCTTTTGTCAAGGCATGGGAAGAAAGTGAAAAAAGCAAAGTGGACAACAAGTAGGATTTCTATCTTTCTATGTTCTATTCAGTGCATTGCGTAATTGGCCTATTTTTGCCGCCTATGTATGAACTTAAGTAAATGACAGATACCAATATTCTTTTAGCTATACAGAGATCTCATCTTTCTTAATTGAGTTCTTACAACTCCAAATTTTCCAGATCATAACGGTATGAGATCCACAGTAATCATTGTAATTACCGCAAAACTCGTTCCACCCAAAGGAATCTTTACATTTCTTTGATATTAGATCCACATTCCTCAAGACGTTAAGTCTTTTGCCCGCATGTATTTGAGTTGAGATGTTAACAGTTCTATTTACATCATATATAATATGATCAACCAACACACCATTCTGAATTATTAGGCTGCCACGGACGTACTCTTAATACACTATAGCTTGTTGGCAATTCATCTTCTGAGTTATCATAACCTTGTTTTTATTAGGGCCCAGAAGAAGCTCTCTGCAGTTGTTAGATGGGAAAACACCCAGAAAGCTAAGCTTGAAGCAAAACTGAAAAAACTTGAGGTAAGCAGGCTCGGGGTCGAGTATACCCAATGAAGTTTTAATAGCAAATCCTTTATTAAAGCAATGGTTTGGTATGCAAAAGTCCAAGTGGTTCAATTTTTGGAGAGGAATCAAAAGACTTTTGACCATTTTGTTTTTCTGATACATATTTGGCCGTTGATAATCCGGTGGAAATTGCAGGAACAACTAGAGCACAAGAAAGCAGAATATGCAGAGAAGATAAAAAATAAAGTAGCATTAATTCATAAGGAGGCAAATGAGAAGAGAGCCATGGTTGATGCGAGACGAGGGAAAGAAATTCTGAAGGCAGAGGAGATGGCAGCCAAGTATCGCGCTACAGGGAAGGCCCCTAAGAAGTTTCTTGGATGCTTTTGATGTTAATATGTTATGAAATTGCGAAGATCATGAAGGATAAGTCTTCTCTTTTCACTTTGTAAATTTCATGCTGCTGCTTTTTAGTGTGTGTTCTTTTATGAGTGTCCAATTTGATTTCACAGGTTTTTACTCTGTATATATACTTTACCAATAAGGTTATCAAATATCGTTCTTATTCAAGAGGTACGCAAACTTTTAAAAGATGGATAATATGCATTGGAGGTGATATATACTTGACCAGCAGTTAAAATAAAAGTAGTTTGGATAAATACTTTTATGATTAAATGTATTTTTGAAGGAATGTGCAAAAACCTTAAAAGACAGATAATATGGACCGGAAATAGTATATATTATACATATTTGGCAGCAGTCCAAATGCAGCATCATTTAAGAAGAGATATTTAGGGTTTAAGTATTAACTATTCAAAATGAACTAGCAAGACGAGCTCTCCATATGGCCAGAGCCCGGATGACCGGGATTTCTAAACATTCCTAAGGGTTAAAAATCTTAAAGGTAAGATCAATATGTAACAGAGCCAAAATATGTACTCCCTCTCTGTTTCTAAAAGATTGGCATTATTCCCTTATTAGTCTGTTTTAAAAAAATTGACACCTTTCAATATTTTCTTAATAAGAAGCATTTATAGCCGCACAAATGCAACGGCAGGTATCAAACCACAAGTTTCAAAAGTTTCATTGACACACAAATGTTATGGCTTATTTAAAACTACTTATCTCAAAAATATTCCCTTCTTTATTAAAGTTTGTGTCAAGTCAAATTAGACAATCTTATTGAAACAGAAGGAGTAGCTTTTACTACAGCTGGAGGTATTAAAATACAACCAGCTGAGAGATGTAAAAGTCAGAGGCGATACAGTTACTTAAAGATGGCAAACTTCATATTATATGGAATAGCAGTTGAAGCAGGGTACATGTTGTGTAGGTATCACTATGTCCTAAAAAGCTCATGTCATTGTTACTAGAGAAATCCGAAAGAAATTGTAATGCTGATTCAGAATCTTCCTCCAAATCGTCGGAGCTAGGAGTGTCTGATCCATGCAAGATATCTCCTGTTTATGGTTGGCAATTCTTCCACTCCCCATCTTCATTTTTCTTGCTCCTTCCAACTGACGAACTGGAAAAATTGAGGTCCATTTCGGTTGTTATGCCTGAAGTTGATCCATAATTTGTAGATGTGGACACTTGAGAGGCTGGACTTTGGCTTGTATTCTTGTCTACTTTCTTGAAATTCCTAAATGCTTCTCCAATCTCTCATATGCGCAAAAAGTAATCGCTTTCAGACCTTCCTCCTGATGATGGAATCAAGAAATGCGATTCCTTAGAAAGACGAGCTTCAGCTTGGAGCCAAGCGATTTCCCATTGTGCCATGTGATGATGGGCTGAAGGTGATAATGGTTTGCGAGTACAAGGATCAATGCCCGGCGTTTCTTCAGGTGAGTATTCCATAAGTTATTGATCTCATTATCTGTCCTTCCAGCAAGTTGTGACGCGATTGCAGCCCATCTGGATAGACTCAGTTCATGAATATTCTCAAATTATTAGAAAGTACAAGTGCTGCTGCAGATTTTGTAAAATAAAGCTGACTATATAGTTGTGTTACTGTAACGTAGTAGTGGCAAAATGGATTAAAAAAATAATTATCTATCCATATTATCCACTAAAGATGAGTTGGATAATGAACTTTTTAGAAACGGGTCAAATTATGAATAAGAACCTTATTATCCACTTAGAAAATGGATAATTAATGGGTTTAACTTTTACATTTGTAAAGGGGATCCTCAAGTTTGGGAGACTAGAAAATCTCCTAAAAGTGATCATATTCAAAAAGTCATGGATATCATATCCATATTATCCGTCGATTAACCCGTTTTCTATCCCATATGGGTCTGATAATTTGCCACCCCTACTATTACGTGTCGAAAAGACTAGGTTCATTCGAAGAAAGGCTTCATCCGCCTCTGGTCACCTTGGTAAGTTTTAAGATTCAGCAGTCACTCAAAAACCAAACTGAAGTAGAAAAGAAGTATAGAATAGCTGTTATTGAGTGAACTTAGACAGAAGCCAGGACAAATGGCGTAGCCGTAGCCGAAGCCGAAGCCGTAGCCGTAGCCGAAGCCGTAGCCGTAGCCGAAGCCGAAGCCGAGCCGAGCGAGCGACGACGACGACGGCGCGAGGCTTGCCTTCTTCTCAGCTCTTTAAGAGCTAGAAGAAGAGCAATTGCTTATATACCCATAAAAAACCTCTTCCTCTTCCAATATGGGACAATGCCCATTTGCCAAGGGAGGGGGAACTTAAAATTTCACTCAAAAATTTCATTTCCCTCCATTTCCCATTCACCCTCTTTTAAGTATTTAATATATTAATTAAATACCTTAAAAACCAAACAATCCCCCACATGAATGGGGAATGGCTATATCACGGAAGTATGCATGAAAAACTGTGTGATTCACAAGTAAGGATTAATTGCATCTGGATAAGTAGGTTTCCCTTTGAACTTTCCGTAGTGAACTTATGTCGGATATACTCGATCAATCGGTAGATTTGATATCTTTGAACCGTCGAACTTTAGTGTATACCTAGACAACCACAAGTCACACAACCAACCCTTAACCGTCTTTGGTTCTCATTGTTGTGTTCGTTTCAGCCATGAACACCGCCTGGTTTCATAAGTGCGTAGAGAACTGGCCTTACAATGTTCTCCTTGAAGCGGCTAACACTTCACACTTACATAGGTGATTCCTAAACGTGTCATCCCGTAGATACACTATTTGATATACCCCGTATCAAATTTAGAAATCATTAAAAAGCCTTAATGCTTTATCCTTGGTACTGAACATTGTCTCATCACGAGAATGGACCAAAAGTTTAGTTGACAATGTTGAACCGTCATAAATGACTTTGTTTGATCTCCTTGAACCTAGATCTTGGGATCTCCAGTCTTCTAGGTAGAGTTACCGCCACTATGACTTGTTCTCGGCCACAGTCCCATTCCCCTTGATGACTTCTCAACTACCTCTCTAGTTAGGCCTTTTGTAAGTGGATCCAACACATTATCACTTGAATTTACATAGTCAATCGTGATAATTCCTCTAGAGAGTAATTGGCTAACGGTTTTATGTCTTCGTCGTATATGGCGAGACTTACCGTTATACATAACGCTCCCAGCCCTTCCAATTGCCGCTTGACTATCACAATGTATGCATATTGGTGCCAACGGTTTGGGCCAAAATGGAATATCTTCCAAGAAATTCCGTAGCCATTCAGCTTCTTCACCGGCTTTATCCAAGGCTATGAACTCAGCCTCCATTGTAGAGCGGGCAATACAAGTTTGTTTGGATGACTTCCAAGATACCGCTCCTCCACCAATAGTGAATACATATCCACTTGTGGACTTGGAATCAGTTGATCCGGTGATCCAATTTGCATCACAGTATCCCTCAATGACCGCAGGATATTTATTGTAGTGCAAAGCAAAGTCCTGGGTATGTACTAAATACCCCAAAACTCGTTTCATGGCCATCCAATGAGATTGGCCTGGATTGCTCGTATATCGACTCAATTTACTTATAGCACAAACTATATCTGGTCGTGTACAATCCATGATGTACATTAAGCAACCCAACACACGACGCATAATCCAATTGTGATATGCTCTGGCCTTTGTCTTTGCTAATGCAAGATTCACATCAATTGTTATAAAAGCCCAAGTTGCTGAATTTTCAAGTACTGTCTTAATATAATGAGATTGTGACAATGCTAGACCTTGAGAAGTCTTATGGATCTTAATTCCCAGAATTAAATCAGAAACTCCCAAGTCTTTCATATCAAACTTGCTAGTTAGCATACGCTTAGTAGCATTTATGTTAGCAATGTCATTATCCATTATGAGCATATCATCCACATAACAACAATGACTTGTGATTTGGAACATTTTTAATGTACACACATTTATCACATTCATTTATTTAAATCCATTTGACAACATTGTTTGGTCAAATTTAGCATGCCATGTTTGGGTGCTTGTTTTAATCCGTAAAGGGACTTAACAAGTCTACAGACCTTCTTCTTTACCTGGAACCACAAACCCTTCAGGTTGTTCCATGTAATTTTCTTCCTCCAACTCTCCATTTAAGAAGGCCGTCTTAACATCCATTTGATGAATTTCAAGACCATAAACTGCAGCTAACGCTACTAACGTTCGTATGGATGTAACTCTTGTAACTGGGAGTATGTATCAAAGTAGTCAAGACCTTCTCGTTGTCTATACCTTTGACCACAAGTCTTGCCTTATACTTGTCAATAGTACCATCATCTTTTATTTTCCTCTTAAAGATCATTTAGATCCCAACGGTTTGTTTCCAGGAGGAAGATCAACCAATTCCCATGTAGGGTTGTTTTAGTATGGATTCTATTTCACTATTGACCGCCACTTTCCATAAAATGATTCCGAAGAAGACATAGCTCTTTAAATGTTTGAGGCTCATTTTCCAAATAAGAAAGTCACAAAATCTGGTCCAAATGAAGTAGACGTTCTTTGACGTTTACTACGTCTTGGATCTTCTTGGTTAAGTGTACTTTCTTTTGTTTCTTCCCGAGGTCGTTTAGATCCTTCACCAATCGACTCACATTCCTTTTTTATACGGATATATATTTTCAAAGAACTCAGCATTATCTGATTCTATAACCGTATTATTATGAATGTCGGGATTTTCTGATTTATGAACCAGAAATCGATATGCTTTTACTATTAGTTGCATATCCTATGAAAACACATATCAACGGTTTTCGGTCCTATTTTTACCCTTTTGGGTTTAGGAAGTTGCACTTTTGCCAAACACCCCACACTTTAAAATAATTCAAGTTGGGCTTCCCTTCCTTTCCATTTTTCATATGGAATGGATTGTGTTTTGCTATGGGGCACTCGATTTAGTATTCGGCTAGCCGTAAGAATGGCTTCCCCACAAGTTCTGTGGCAACCAGAACTTATCAATAATGCGTTCATCATCTCCTTTAATGAACGATTCTTTCTTTCTGCAATCCCATTGGATTGGGGCGTGTAAGGGGCCGTTGTTTGATGAATAATTCCATATTCTAAACATATTTGTTCAAAAAGGAGATTCATATTCACCACCCTATCACTTCTTATCATTTTGATTTTC